GTCAACACCATCGAACAAGAAAATTGAGTTATTTTATTTACGTCCTTGTGTCCGATACTTAATTATTACATTCTTACCGACCACAAAACAAATACCCATTTATACAGTCCACATATCTAAGGAACAATTAGCCTGACCTAATATGGATTCCGCGTTCTCAATAAACCGTACCGGGTCCTCTGCCTTTGTTCCGGAGAACTCGGGAAGGGACACGCGTGCTGCGCGAAGATCCTCGTACGGAATTAGGACAGAACGTTTGGGGCTATAGGGTGGACTCGAAAATGTGTGATGTGGCCTACTCAGTGGGTGCACGTCCGCGAAATGTACGGACCGTTCCGCGGGTACGCGTTCGGTTCGCGTGTCACGGGTAACGTCGTACCATGCGTTAGTAGACCGTTGCGTCCGGTGAACACTTCCGACTTCGCGGTGGTCATCCCTATGTGGATCAATGTCGGGTACCCGTTCCGTACTATAAAGGCGGGGGCTGGATGGGTGAAACATCGCCTGTCCGCCTCGCTGATCCCAACGCGGGTCCTCTAAAATGCGTGTGTCGGTTGGTGTGTCCGATGGCGGTAACGGTTCGGTTCGCGGGCGTACACCGAACTCGATTCGCCTGATACTCTCCGCGACCCGACGATGGTCGTCGAAGTAATGGGCCAGGCACGTTTCGAGGGTCATCAACCGCGATTTGATTTGATTCGGTCCCGAACCGTTGTTTACTGCCAGCCGAATCGATTTCCACTATTCGTGCGCGGCCTGTATGTGTATGGTGTCGGACGCGTATGTGTCTGAATTAGTATCGAGATGGTTCGGCTGTATGTTGGTCGGTTCGCTGTTTCGCGGTGATTCGCTAGTAGCGCTTTTCCGGCCACACTGGTCACTGTCCGTATTCGCCTCGGTTCGGGGACTCGCGTAATGTGGGAATCGTACCGATCCGGTCTCAATACCTCTCGATATAAAATATTCGGCCAGACGAGTCTCGAGATCAAACTTCGCACCGCCGGTGGGTAGCTCACGTTGTTCATACTCATAACGCAGTTCGGTGATCGTCAACTTATTTAAAAATTTTTCCGACATGTCCAAAAAAATTTTGAAGTCGGTGTGGGTAAAACACAAAAAAAAAAATAATAATTTGTCTTCCGTAACTGTACGGCGATGGGTCGACTCTACCGTCGGTAATTTGATACGGAAAGTAATAGCAAACAAAACAAAAATATGAATTGTGTGTGTATATATTGTGGCGACCCCCACTACGATTATCACGGCGATTCCCGCGCTCGTGGTGGCCTACCAAAACAGCGGTCGTTCGCCGACCGCCTCCAGTCGTCTTTTCCCCGCGTCAACGCTTACGTTTGTCACCGTGACCAAAAATGTATTTTGTTGGTGCTATGTGAACTAACTCATTTATCTTTTTTCTCGTACAATAAACTTATTTCGTAAACATTAAATTCTAAACTCGTAGTTTCTTAAGGTAACCTTTTTCCCTGTTGTGGCCTACCGTCGTTGGTGGTAGGGGGAAAACACTACAACGCAGTAATTTTGATCATATTTTGATCAAATTACATTCATCGAAATTCAATCATAGTGCTTACGACCGTGATCTAATACACACGTAGGTTTCATCACCTTCATCATGATGCAACGACAATTAATTTTGAATAATAACCTTATGATTTGCGAGATTCTTAGACAAGAGGCAGCATTTGAAGATGAATTACTTTTAAGGATTATTGATTTTTCTTTAAAATGAATATCTTTATGCTTAGGGTGAGCACTGTCAAAAATTTCCTTATTTTGTTGGACATATTCAATTAAAATTTCGTCCTCAGTTGAGGAAAAAAACAAATTTTTTCGACATTATCAAACTTTTGACGCAAGAGGTCCGTACGCGACACTAGTCCAGACTAATACTGCGTCCGGACGCACTGCGACATTTACCGACGCGCTGCGTTAAACGCAAGTAGGAAAACAGTCACAACTAAAATGCATGTACCTAGTAACAATGCGTCTGACGCTGCGTTTGGACGCTGCGTCTGGACGCTGCAGGGAAAACGTACCTTAAACGCACCTTAATGTGTCGCGGTCCGGAGACTCGTCCGTATCGCGGTTCCGAAGTCGTTTCGCGGACCGGTAATCAGTTGACGGCGGCACGGTGTGTGTTATTTCGGTAAAGATACGTTCGATATGCCGCGATTCACGCGTGCGGGACGGCGGGTCGCGGTGTATTCGGGGACGTAAGTACTTCCTAATATTACTGCGTATGTCACGACCGGTTTTTCGCGCTCGCGTGCTGCGATATCTCCGCCGCATGTTGGGGACTCGGCGCGTGTCAGCGATATAGACGAATATAGCGTCCGGGTTTTTCCCTACCCGTGATATATTTACGTAAAGAAAATGAAGCAAAGCGCGATTTACAAACTAGCGAAAAGTATCTTACCTTGCCTAGTCACGTTACTGACCGGGAAGAATTCCTCTGCGGGGAGCCAATTTTGTCGTGAGCCGGGATGTCTTCGGTACGACCCACAATAATAATAATAAAACTTTGATGTTGTTCACTAAACACGCCATTGAATAAAAATAACCGGCAACGTAAATTCGGATTCGAAAGATTACTTTAATCTGTGGAATTGAATTATGTAACACAATGAAAATTGAATAATGTACAAAGTTAAAATGTTGAATATAAAAGAAAATGACGTACATATGACCGACGGTGGTGTCCACGTACACGGTTGGGAAAGAACAGACCCGAACAGACCGGTTCGATAGTATTCCGTGCGGACGTCGTCGCGACCGTTCGCGTCCCCTGTCCATAGATTGATGGGAGGGACGGGGTGTCGCGGCGGCGTTGCGTGCCGCGGTCTGGTGGTTGATGAGAGAGACACAGGCACGGTCGGCGACAGACGTTTCGATAACGGCTGCCGCACGGGTCCGCGTCAAAGTTTTACAGCTAAGTCATCTTCACCTGGTTTTTAAGCGTGTTGGTTCTATGTCTTCAGGTTCTGCTGTATAATACTCAATTTTCGTATGGTCTTGGCCAGAGGCGTAGCCAGGATTTTTAAATGGTGGGGGGGCTAACCACTTTTTTGGATAAGTAAGGTAAGAGAGGATATGAGAATTCACCCTTAACCCTACCACCAAGTTTCTAAACGTAATTCAAGCATTTTAGTATAGTTTTAAAAATATTTATTAATATATAATTTATAATAATAATAATTTTGGTGTCAGTGTTCAGTCACTTGCTCCACTCTGACAGCTGCATCCTCTTAGGCGAATTTCTGGCAAATTCAGTTATTATTTCACTTTCATCGAATTGCTCTTTTTTTATTTATATTAGCCATAGCTAACCCATTCAGTCTGTTTTCCAACATGTTGCTTCTTAAAAAAATTTTTAAGCGATTAAGTGCTGAAAACGTTCTTTCCGGAGTGAAAGAGGTAACTGGTAACGTGGCGAATAATTGTGAAAGTATTTTAATGTTAGGTCGAAGATTGGTGCGATGAGAGAGTAAATCAAGAGCAGAATTCGGTTTTGGAAGAGTATTTTGACTCCATTGTTGCCTACATATGAACAGGTCAGCTCTGATTGTAGATGAGGAGATCATGGAGATCTTGGACGTATATTTTAGCAGCTTTTATAATATTTTTATCGTCATACATATTTAAATTGGCCGGATAAGTCCTTCAAGTGGCATAACATCAATAAGCCTTTGATAAAATGAGCATCCATTGATTCTATTAAATAGTCAAGATACATTATACATATAAACATGGCCCATGGGGAGGCTATAGCCCCCTTAGCCTCCCCCTTGGCTACGCCACTGGTCTTGGCGCGTTTGTGAGTTGAACAATTCCTCGAACATTTTCCCAAATTGTTTTACAATTTCTTTTCCTGTTAATAGTGCTCCGTTTTCTTCTTTCATTATCTCTGTTCTGGTTAGGTTATATCCCATTTTTAATTTTTTTGTTTGTTTGAAGAAGAGTCTCGGATTTGTCCTATTATCTTCAATCTACTTTATTCTTTCCTTTTCCCATAATCGTTTTTCCCTTCTTATTATACTCTAAGTTTCTGGGCAAAATTTCTATTGTTTTCTGTGTTTGGGCTTGTAAACATCACTGATTTCGCTGTATCCATTTCTTCGATTGCATTTTGAAACTTATCGTTAAACCATTTACGTTTTTGTACTTTTATCTTATTTCCTAGGTATACCAATGCACTTGTTTTTATTATAACCTTTATTTTTTTTCCAACGGGTCTCAATGTTTTCTGCCCTCTATTCCTCAATTTAATTGGTTTTTTAGTTAACTGTTAGATTTATTTAATTTTTCGTAATTTTTTATGTTATCTACGAGGTTGTGGCTATTAATATATTAATTTGGCTATTAAATAACGGGATTTTTATTAGAAAATATTTTTATTTACAATTTTTAATAATTTAACATTTTTCCCCTTCTATATACTCTTTTCCAAGTTTGACAAATAGATTCATTCGTATTTTCTATTGGTTGAAACATTGTTGGAAACAGGGACTGAGACCGGACCGAAAAAAATCGGTTACCAAAACACCTAGTGCAAATTAAAAAACCGAAAATAACCGTTACCTGTATTTTATATTTTTAATAGACCCTAACCAATACCGAAACCTATAGACAATATCAAAAGAATACCGGTTTTTTTTAAGGGTTTTTCACTGTTTTCAAGTTCCTATTGAAATCTAAAGAAATTACTCTTTAAACTAAAAATATATTATTTAGAAACCATAATTACGTATAATAATTTATATTATACAGTATTTACGCAATGTTATATTCGGCCGTCAACCAATGAATATAATATTATTGTCTAAGGAATATTAATATATATTATGTATATGTTAAAGTGGCCACACACTACGGTTTTATTTGTCCATGTACTGTGTTCGCTCGTTTTTAGTTCGTACACCGATGAACGACATACACTCGGTTTTGTATCATTGTATAGTGTTCAAACAACACGGATCATTTTATTCGTACATCCACACACGTTTTCCTTTCAATATGGGACCTGTATCACGTACCGAGTGTTTGGCTACAGCCGTTTCAGCAGCCACACTACAAATAATTAAAAAAGAGAATAGTATTGATCTTTCAAAGAGCAACTAGAGATATAAAACTCTACTATATAATGGAAATGAGTGATGAAGTATGTAAAAATAATAGAATTTTAAAAATAATCAATAGAATAATAATTTGTACATAATTTGTTAGTTTATTATTATTATTTAATTTAAAAAGTTTTTAGAACTGCGCGGTTTTAGTTCGAACACCGAATATGGACAAAAAATCAAACTCCTCAGTTTTTACTCCGTGTCCGTTTACGGTGTTTTTCTTCCGTTTTATTGCTCACACATTATCGGTGTACGTTGTTCGAACTACACCGTACATGGTACACGGACAAATAAAACTGTGTGGCCAGTGTCGGCCTGGCCAAGGCAGCTAGGCAGCAACCGCTGCCTGGGCCCCCGTCTTTTTTTTTTTTTATGTATATTTAAATGTAACTTAACGTTTGTATATAATAATTACAAGGAACACTTGGTCGTAAAGTATTTTAACTTTTAAATCTATAATTAGAATAAGTAAATCGTACTTCTTACTATCTTAGTCAGGTTTTATAATTGTGCTGTAGTTCAATAAATATAATTTATAATAATTATGGATGAACGATCTTGATATTAAATAGTATTGAAGAACGATTAATTCCAAATGAAAATAATATTCAACCATACCGTATCAGTACATAACTGAAATTCTTGAATTTCATCGTCTGGAGAGTCACGCCAAAATATATGCTGGTACAGACGGTCTTCCGAACGAATAAGAATTTGTCGATACATTTTAACTATGTCCGCAGTGAAGATGTATTTGTGCATGCGGCATCGAAGCAAAATGTCACGGAGATCCGCCTGTAATTTCGGACCTGTGCACAACACGTCGTTTAATGATTTACCGGATGATGTTGCCGCGGAAGCGTCGAAAACTACACGGAGTTTGGATACATCATCGTCGGATTTTAATACCGCATGGTGCGGAATAATATATTTATCTAGTTCCGGAGCGACGCGCATGTGTCCAAGGGCTTGATAATCGGACATAAACTTTCTATATGTGGTATACAACTCGGGTTCCTTAATCAGACGTGATTCGAGGTTCAAAAACCGTTTCATCGCTATTGAGCGGGAATCGCCGAGACCGTGACTCGATGATGTCTGAGACCTGCCCGAACGCACAAATAAATCCCGAAATGGGAGGGAAACGCAAAATGACCAGATTGATCACGTGAAGTAGACTTAGAAAAATGTTCTTCGCACCATTGGTCCTCAGTAGTGGGCAAATTAGGTGTTGAGGGTTCTTCTATTGCCCAAAATTCGCGAAGAAGATCACCGATCGGTGGGATTACGGTCGTCGTCAGCGCGACTTGAAGTGAAGCATTAGTTGTTGCGATAGACCCGAAAACTACTCAACCGAGCATGCTGTCCAAAGCCGAGGGAAAACCAGAGTGGTGTTCGACACCCGCATGAGAACGCACAATACTGGGAAACACATCTGCGCCGAATAAAACATCTATTCACGCCGGAACGTCAAATTTTCTGTCTGCGAGTAAAAGATGTCGATATTTTTCACGGATACATACAGGCAATTTGGACGCGGGCATTGCGGCAGTAATTTGCTTTAAGACAACTAAATCAACAGCGGTAAAAACATGTTCTGGGTCAAAATGTGACGAAAACTGACAATTAGTGATGCCTTGAACGTGAGAGACTGGATGTTGCGCGAGACCTACAATATGCGTAGAAAAATTACGTTTAGGTAAGCCAAGACGAGCTAAACAATCACTGGTTATGGCGGAGATCTGTGACCCGCTGTCTAACAGTGCGCGAACCGCGTGCAGACGTCCCCACGCGTCCTTAACGAGTATGACTGCTGTACCTAATACGACAGTAGAATGGGTTCGGGCGGTACCAGCAAACGACGTGGTGACACTCGACGACGGTTGCGCGTCCGAACTGGCACACAATGTAATACTGTCCGGAGTCGTTGATTTTTCTTGATTTCGATGTAGCAACGAATTATGACGTCGGCTGCCGCATGACGCACAGCCCCTCTTTGATGAACATAAATCTACTAAATGAGATGAATGCATACATCCGAAGCACAATTTACGTGATGTCACGTATTCTCGGCGCTTGTCGACCGTTAGTTGTTTGAATGTCGGACATTGTTGTAATACATGACCAACTTTATTACACATTAGACAATTCCGTGAAGTAGATTTTAACGAAACGGAAGTAGTGGTTATGAATATAGATTTCGTTGGGACGGTATGTTTTCCGCGAAGAAGAGTCTTTTCGTGGCATTTTTCTGGACGATCAATTTTGACAGTAGTTTTAAGACCTTCTAAAATTTGGCAACGGCGTTGGACAAACTTCATTAATTCATCGAAATCGGGGATCGTCGATCGCGAAATACTTGATTCAAATAATTGTAATGTGGTGGGATGAAGGACACGAGATCCCATATGGAATAACAAAAAATTGGCCAAATCTTCGACACCGAGGGATCTTATTACGGAGACATTTTCTTGAAATGTATTTATGAATGCCATTAATGAAGCTACAGATTCTTGATTCATTGATTTGAACTCGAAGAGTTTATCTAGGTGAGCTGAAGCTAATATGTGTTTGTTATCGAAACGATTCGATAAAATTTCCCACGCTATTTTATAATTATCCGCCGACAACGGTATGGATCGTATGAGACCTAATGCAGAACCCTAAAGACACAATAACAAATAGTGAAAACGCTCCGCGTCACTAATAGTTGGATTGTCATGTACGAGTGATACGTAAATGTCACGAAATGAACGCCAGTGCAATACGGAACCATCGAATCTCGGTAATGACACGGAAGTTTGAGCAATGGTAATAGTGGACGACGTAGTTGCCTTGTCATTAGGAGCACACTCAGACGATATGAGTTCGATTTCATAACACATGGTCTTCATTGATGTAACAATAGGATCATCAACAGTTTCAAGTTCAACCAAACGATCGAGTGCGACTAGAGCTTGGAAAACAGAAGCGTGTTCGGTGCGAAATTGGGTGACAAAATAGTCTAATTTCGCAATTCGCGTAGTTAGAGACGATAGTTTTGTATTATCGGACCGAGCTTCTAAAGCTACAGCGTTCATCTCGTTAATAGATCTTAATGCACGGCTACGCAAAGCATGTGCAAACGCCAGCGATGAAACATGGTCTTGAATTTTGGGCGGCATAGTGAAAATATTTCAATATTGCTTGATTAATATTTCACTAAACGAACAATGAGCGACGACGAAGAGAAAAAAAAAATAACACGAATAAAATGTAAAAGATAACGTTTAAATCAATACAAAGGTGACTGATAGCGATAAAGAACGTAGACTGATTAAGTATCACGATGACACACAACGGCTGATAATCGAAATAACGCTGTAAAACGGACAGTCGAAATAATAACGACGAAGTCAACTATAGTGCGGCCAGCGAAACTAGAAGCTTGACGGTCACGCGCCCTAGTGGCCGTTTTTCATTAGGGCTACGAAGAATGATTTCCCGCGTAAAACAATTTCGAACACATTTACACTTGTTGTATAGACCTGTTTCACAGCTACTCGTACGATACGCGCGCTTATCATATATTCTTACGTGTGGCTATGAAACGGGCCTTTACTAAAAACATAACATTTGATATTTTTGTAATACACATTTTTTATTAATTTATTATCACGTTATCAAAATAATAATATAATAATAATAACATTTAAAATATTTACAATTGTTTTCGAATTTTAATAATAATTATAAAACTCTACTCATCGTAGTCATCGTCATCATCGTCGCTCGAACTGCTGTCATCTGGATAAATTGTTAAAATAATCGGCTCTAATATTTCGTCCCTCAATCCTGCTTTATAGAAATCTTCTTCTTGAATTTTCACGCAATGTTCTCCACATTTGGCCCAATCATCAGCAGTTACCGCATCAATTTCTTTATGGACAAGTGCTTCAACATCAGCAATTTTAAATGTTGTTTTTTTCAGCAACTCTCCCTTTAAATTGTGCCCAAATTAATTCTATGGGATTATACTGACAGTGGTAAGGTGGAAGTCTTACCACTTCATGTCCCATTTGTTGTGTCGATTGTTCCAACTTATAAATTTTTTCACGTGGCATCGTAAGTTTGACTTTTGCCCGTAATTCATCTAGAGTTTCTACGGGAGAAAAGACTATATTTTTTTTCGCGCAACCATTGTTGAACATCCGTCTTCCTACTATTTGACTTCGGGTAGTCCTCGAGTAATGCAGAATGATATGACACGTTGTCCATAACAATAACGCTGGGCTCTTCCAAGTTCATTAACATTTGCAAATACCAATTTTCAATGATTGTAACATTCATCTGTGAATGATAATCTTTGGTATTGCCAGAGTTACAGCGAAAAATTAATTTTTCATCTTTGACAAAACCAAAGGAAGGAGACCCAGCGTGACAAATCATAAGGCGACTGCGTTTCCCTGTAGGTACTTTTAGGCCCTCTGTATTTTCGTGGTTTTGCCAAATATATCCCCGAGTATGATTTTGGTTAACCCAGGTCTCGTCTAAATAGACTATTGGTCGAGTATCACCATTTATACGAAGCTCGTTCATTCTACGTAAAAATTTTACGCGCGCAGCTACTATGTCCGACCGTCCCATTAGAAATTTGCGTCCGTCATTACACCTTTTATATTTAAAATTCAGTTTTTTCAAAACAATTTTTATTGATGATTTCGACCCCCGGTAATCAGTTTTTTCTCGCAACGCTGCTAACATTTATGCACTTGTTGGAAATTCTTCCTTGTCATAAAAGCTGTGGACCACCCTTCTGACCACTTCACTGTCGAAATCGTCAAGATCAGTGACAGATTTGTTACGACTGTAACGTTTTCTAGGTGATCGAAATTTTATATCTGTAGAACTTCCGACACCTAACTCTTCTTCGACATCAAGAGATACAGTTTTGCTTTCCTTACAAATTCTCTGTACAGTAGACCGACTTACCCCACAAGCATCTGCCGCACGCTCTTGACATAGTCGGAAAAATTTGCCACTTCCGGTTGGTCTTCTTTACTGGCAAACATTTTAAAATAATTGTACACGTTGTACATAGTTTTTTTGGTTTGAGAATGTATATCTGGCCGGATCGACATTTCAATTGAACAATATACGAACAAAAATGGTGAAAAACCGCAAAAAACAAAAATGCACAAATAAACAGTAAGAAATTCGTAACAAACTCGGTTCAAGACAGGCGATGACGCTGGTAGTCGTCGATCATTTCCCGTGAAAAAACCGGTTGGCGACGGAGCGGCGCGCTGTCTCGACAGAATCGTTATTACATTGACGGGCACGTACTCGTTGGTTTGCGCGGACGCGCAAAGGCTTTATTGTGCAGTTTAATCTGTTCCCAACAGCCGCATTTACACGTATAAATTTTATAATGACGCGAAACGTCTAAGACAAAAGTTCATTAAATAGTGTACGGCCGCACGGCGCTCTCGGTTTTCCGAACGAACACGCACCGCACCGCACCGCGAGTAGTGGCCGTGACTTAAACGCCGCGCGCTTGCGGATCGCGAAAACACTTAACAGCGCATTCTCTTAGCCGTCGTACACGTTTCACTTTTGGTATCACGTCCTCTTAAAATACAAAGAGCTACATTGAAATGTATATGAATTTTTTTTAATAGCAGTCCGCACTCCTGCTTTGCTATCTTCAAAATGAAGAAGTAAAAATATAAAATAAATATATTCTAATCTTAGATGTTATATGAAACAAATATTAAGGTATGTCCACACTAGTGCGTTTTCGTTTTCACCTTTCGATTCCACTTGCGTTTCAACTTGCTCTTCGTCATTCGATAAGCGCATGCGATTGTTAAATAGTGCTTTAAATGCATGCTTCTTTCTGTCCACATCTGTGTCTACGCCAGCAGTCGTTTTTCACCGTGCGGTATAGTTAAAACTAAAAAGTATGTCAGATTCAAATTTACTTTTAGGTATTTCTGCAGCGTACTATATTATCGCGAATGCGAAAAAAAAACGTGAGAAAAAACGTTCCAAATGGATAAAAAATGATTTTAAAACAAAAAACTTCAGTATTATTAACGATTTGCAATTGGACGAAGACTTCCTGTTTGGAAACTTTACGCGAATGTCCAAAACAAATTTCTTTTCGTTATTAAAAATGATCGAGCCCGAAATTGTAAAACAGAATACCAAATTTAGAGAGGCAGTACCGCCTAACATAAAATTGTTAATAACACTTCGGTATTTAGCTACTGGTGATTCATTTTCATATCTTATGTACCTATTTAGAGTTTCCACACACTCAATATAAACGAAAAATTCAAAATGATATAAATCAAAATACTGAAATAAAAAAATAATTACAAAAGTCGCAATCAAATCGCACGAAAAATCCACTGGGCTTGGAAACACGTGCTTTGTCGCATGCTGAACAAAACTTTTCTCCGTTCAACTCGATAGACGCATGCGTTATTGAATGCGCTTCGTTCGTCATCGCATGCTCTACGACGCATGCGCTTATCGCAAGCAAAAACGCACTAGTGTGGACGTACC